AGGCGGTCCGCCCACCTCGGCCTCCCAAAGTGCTGGGATTATAGGCTTGAGCCACCACGCTCAGCCCTGGTGATGCCAGTTTCTGTGCAGTTGTTGTCTGTTATCCCAGACTCAATGTGTCCATCCCTGGATAGGTCACCCCCTCCTAAAGTTTCTCTTGACCTGCTCTCATTCTCTCAGAATTGTCCTGTCACCCAGAATTTGACTCAGACACACAATACCATAGCCAGCTAATTCTTCTGTTTTTTTGTAGAGATGGGGTTTCACCACATAGCCCAGGCTGGTCTCAGTCTTGAACTCCTGTGCTCAAGTGATCCTTCCACCTTGGCCTCCCAAAGTGCTGGGATTACAGACATGAGCCACTATGTCCAGCTTGGCCACCAGCTTATTGAAAGTCTCCAGGATTGGCCGGGCGTGGTGGCTCATGCCTGTAATCCAAGCACTCTGGAGGCCAAGGCGGGTGGATCACCTGAGGTCGGGAGTTCAAGACCAGCCTGACCATCATGGTGAAACCATGTCTTAAAAAAAAATAAAGAAAAGAAAAGAAAAAGAAAGTCTCCAGGATGCTGGGACCCCGCGCCCTTGCCCTTCCATAATTGTATCTTTGTGAACAAGTGATTTAGTTTTGCCCTTTTTACTCCATATCTATACCAGCCTGGCTCTAGGAGAGTGGGGAGGCCTGCTCTAAGGTTTCTGCCCTCTCTGGGCCACTGGGCCAAAGCTGTAGCTTGGCCTTCGTGGGCTACCTGGGTCAGCCACTCCTGTGCTTAGGGCTTAATCACTAGTTTACTGAGGCCTGAAGTTTAATCAGCACCTTGATGCTGAACAGCTCTTTTCCTTGATCTTCAGCCCTCCTTGCTTATCTCTGGTCTTCCTCTGACAGAAGCTTGTCAGACAGGCGATGGGGGCTCCAGTGATGAAGCTGACCATCTTTCTTAAGAGGTGTTCTGGAAGCTTGCACTAAGATTGGATTGGGTTGACTTCTTAAAGCTGAACTGCTGTTTGCAAGTTTGGTAGTACAATAGCATGGCCCAGACTCCCATCTGGCATAGGGCTGGTCTTTACCCAGGAATCCCACAGATGGGGGTAAGGAGGGGAGAGGAGCCAGCATGCACCCTTGAGTCATTAGATTATCAAAGGATGTGACCCTGTGTCCCAGGAGCGCTTGGTAATTCCTGGTTTGCACTGGTGGCCTTTCTCTGTGGCAGTCAGGGCCCTGATTATCTTGTCAGAAGTATCCAGCTGGGTCTCTCTTGGGCTCCATCACCGTTCAAGTCTCTGCTCTTAAGAACTCTTTAAGTTGGGTGCAGTGGCTCATGCCTGTAATCCCAGGACTTTGGGAGGCCAAGGTGTGCAGATCACCTGAGGTCAGGAGATCGAGACCAGCCCAGCCAATATGGTGAACCCCCATCTCTACTAAAAATAAAAAATTAGCTGGGCGTCGTGGCGAACATCTGTAATCCCACCTACTTGGGAGACTGAGGCAGAAGAATTGCTTGAACCTGGGAGGCGGAGGTTGCAGTAAGCCGAGATTGCACCACTACACTCCAGCCTGGGTGACAGAGTGAGACTCCATCTAAAAAAAAAAGAACAAAAAACAAAAAACTCTTTAGTTCCCTTCTCCTGGGTTCACAGCCAAGGCAAAAAAGAGAGTCCTTGGCCTCTTGGCAAACATACATCCCCTGCCTGGCTGGTGCCCCTTCAGCTTCCCTCTCTAAGGAACAACTTGAACATAGAACTCCAACCTCACCTGTAGTCCCAGCACTTTAGGAAGCTGAGGTGGGCAGGTCACTTGAGGCCAGGAGTTCAAGACCAGCGTGGCCAATATGGCAAAACCCTGGCTTTACAGGAAATACAAAAATGAGCCATGGTGGTGTGTGCCTGTAATCCCAGCTGCTTGGGAGCGTGAAGCACGAGAATCACTTGAACCAGGGAGGCAGAGGTTGCAGTGAACCAAGGTCACGCCACTGCACTCCAGCTTGGGCGAAAGAGTGAGACCCTGTCTCAAAAAAAAAAAAAAAGGAAGAAAAGAAACTTCAACCTCTGAAAGTAAACAACTTATGCAGTGATTCCCAGAGAAGATTTAGTCACCAACCTTCCCTCTCTCCTTCCAAGGAAAGCCAAGAGAGGGGCGGGGCACGGCCCTCCAGTGCGTTACTTCACCGCTTCCTGAGTAAGCCTTCTCAAGTCCGTGCAGCCTTCAGTTTGTGATTTGTCATTGCCTGAGAGCAATGTTAGGATGATGAGCTACGAGTCCTCAGTCTGAAGCCCCACAGGCCAGGTGCAGTGACTCACACCTGTAACCCCAGCACTTTGAAGGCCAAGGCAGGTGGATCACCTAAGGTTAGGAGTTCAAGACCAACTTGACCAACATGGAGAAACCCCATCTCTACTAAAAATACAAAATTAGCCGTGCGTGGTGGTGCATGCCTCTAGTTCCAGCTACTCGGGAGGCTGAGGCAGGAGAATCACTTGAACCCAGGAGGCAGAGGTTGTGGTGAGCAGAGATTGTGCCATTGCACTCCAGCCTGGACAAGAGCGAAACTCAGACTCAAAAAAGTAAAAATTTAAAAAAAAACCATCACAATTTGTCCCCTCTTGATTTTCCTGACCATATTTTCCACTAATCCCGCTAACAAACCTCTGCCACCATCTCGGTCTCCACGCTCTGGTATTAATGCATTTGAACTTGCTGTGTATGTTTCCTGCACTTTTTTTGAGAATTACCTAGAATGGATCAATCCTACCTTTCCCATGAAGCCCCTCCTGACCATTGCAGATGCCTTCCCTTTGCTGGGCTGTGTGCTGCATATGTGTACAGGGGAATATCACATTTAGGTACAGCACAGCCTGTTCGTGTGTGAGCTCCTTTTGACTCCCATGTCTCGAGAGGGGTGTGTGGTGTTAGCATCTGCAGGTCAGAGGCAGATGCTAAAGAGACAGGCCTGACCATTCACCTAGCTTTCCTTTCTCTGAGCTTCAGTTTCCTCACCTCTAAAAAGGAAATAAAACTGTGTGCAGCTTAACCGAGGAGATGCCTGTGGAGTGTTCAGGGTGACGGCCGTGGTCACTACTATTAATCTTTTTCTCCCCATCTGGACTTGGCCACAGCTTGCTTGTTAAACCCATTTACTGATAGATTGATTAATCTCTCTTCTCTCACCAGGTACATGGCCACCTCTGGCCTAGACCACCAGCTGAAGATCTTTGACTTGCGAGGGACGTTCCAGCCTCTGAGCACTCGGACCTTGCCCCATGGAGCAGGGCACCTGGCCTTCTCCCAGAGGGGACTGCTGGTGGCGGGAATGGGTGACGTTGTCAACATCTGGGCAGGGCAGGGCAAGGCCAGCCCACCCTCCCTTGAGCAGCCCTACCTCACCCACCGGCTCTCAGGCCCTGTGCATGGCCTTCAGTTCTGCCCCTTTGAAGATGTGCTGGGGGTGGGGCACAGTGGGGGCATCACCAGCATGCTGGTCCCTGGTGAGTGGGTCAGGGGACTGGGCTTGGAGTGAATGAACTCTGGGTGGAAGTTTGGGCCTGAGACAGCTAGGAGCTGGGGACTTGGTTGGGCTGGAGCTGTTGGACTGAGGGCCTTCCTTATGGCTCCATGCTCCTCTCTCCCTCTGTCCAGGGGCTGCTGAGCCCAACTTTGATGGCCTGGAGAGTAACCCATATAGAAGCCGGAAGCAGCGCCAGGAATGGGAGGTGAAGGCCTTGCTGGAGAAGGTGAGGCTTCCCTACTGGAGAGCGTGAGCTTGAGAGGGTGAGATTCCCCCCTGCTGGAGAGAGTGAGGTCCCTGCTGCTGGGGAAGGTGTGTATGTGGTTTGCGGCTGAAGGCAAAGAAGGGTCTCGTGCTGGGGGTCTTGGGTAGAGGGGTTCAGCAGCCTCCCTGGCTTCTCTTTGGTGCTGCCCTCCTGTGGCTCCTTGCTGAGTCCTATCCCTCTGTGACATCCCCAGGTACCCGCAGAGCTTATTTGTCTGGACCCACGAGCCCTGGCTGAGGTGGATGTCATCTCTCTGGAGCAGAGAAAGAAGGAGCAGATAGAGAGGCTGGTATGGAGCAGATCCCTGAGTGCCCAGACCCATCCTCACCCCACATCTTCTCCCCACCATGGCTTGTCCCTACAAGTGCGGCCAGCATGTGGGTGCTGCCAGTTCCTTGACTCTGCGGCTGTAACAGATTTCACTCCTGTCCCCTCCTTCAGGGCTATGACCCAGAGGCTAAGGCTCCATTCCAGCCAAAGCCAAAGCAGAAGGGCCGCAGCTCCACGGCAAGCCTGGTGAAGAGGAAGAGGAAGGTCATGGATGAGGAACACCGGGTAGATGAGCATTGGGATGGGCTGGGCCTCCCACAGGCTACACCTTCCTGCTTGTGCCTCTGCCCTTGGCAGCCTGCCATTTCTTACTCTGTCCCTGTGTCCTCCCTCTCTCTGGTCCCCAGGACAAGGTCCGGCAGAGCCTTGAGCAGCAGCAGCAGCTGCAGCAGAAGGAAGCAAAGACCAAGCCCACGGGGGCCTGGCCATCTGCCCTGGACAGATTTGTGCGCTGAGCCAGGCTCCAGGGTTGCCTGGGGACAGTGTCTCCCAAGATCACCTGTAAGGAAATTACTATTCCCTGGAACAAGGAGGTGGGGACAGTGTGCTCCCTTCCCCAGTTTGGGGGTGGACAGGTGGCTCCTGGGGTGGGTTGGTATTAAAAAGGAAAGTGGTTTTTTTGGATAATGTGTCTGGATCATACTGTGGACCTGTTCCCCTCCCCCTTGCCCAGCATGAGGCCATTCTAGGATTAGAGGAATCAGTGTCCTGCCTCTACCCCCACCCCCCATACCTTGTGGCTGCTGTGGCCTTAGCTTTGCCTTTTAGGGGCCTTCGTCATCAGAGAGGCTGTCCTCTTTCCCGTGACCCTGGAGACATCCTTCCCATGCAGCAGGGTCTGGCAGCCTCTGGGCTCTCCAGGTTTGTGTTCTGGGAGTTCTGGTGAAGATGACACTGCACTCGAAGAAGTGGAGACAAGTTTATTGAGGAGCTTAACACCCCTCTTCTGCCCTAGCTGGAGAGAACAACTGCAGCATTTTTTGTTTCTTTTTCTCTTCCTGATGACCATCTTTGGGGCTGGCAGGCCAGGCCCCTCAGTGTCTCCCATATCCCTGTCTTTAGTGAGACTGAGGATGTAGTATGAGGAACCATATCAGCTGCAGCCAGTGAGGGCCCCTGCATTGGGCCTGGGAGAGAGAAGGTCCTGTTCCTGCCTTTCCTGTGGTCCCAAGCACTCTCAGCTGTGAAGCCAGGCTATTATCCGACACCGCAGGACGCCCAGGACTCCCTGGAACCAGGAGCAAAAGGGCACAGTCCTTTCTCCATCAGAGCCACCCACCAGCTTCCAGGCTTCCTGCATCTTCCAGGGGTCCAGCCTGTGGGACGTCAGCAGGAATTTCCCATAGCAGCACCGGTCCAGGGGGTAGTGGGTAGCACCAGCCAGCTTGACACACTGTGTTGGGGCGAGGCCTCCTCGTCGGGCACTTACCCCCACAAAGACATCCTCTAATGGGAGAGGGGGTGCCCGGCTGGCCACCTTGAGAATGAGCTGCACAGCAGACGCTGACAGCACGTATCCCGTGCCTGAGGCATAGGGTGGAAAGGGGCCCCAGGTGTGAGGCCACTGCTCCTCCGAAACATGGTGTCTACCCCCTGGTGTCCGAGAGGGGTTCACCCGCCAGTGCACCCGGCCCAGGTACAGAAGAGGCACTTCCTCGCTGTGCAAGGCCTGGCCACCTTCCTTCTCTTCATTCCCAACCTCAGCCTCTCTCTGAGATTCCGTGCTTGTCTCCCATTGCTCCCAACGGCCCCCTCGCAAGACCAGCTCTGATACCAGTTCGGGGACGTTGACATACACATCATCGTCTGTCTTGAGGACGTATCGGGCCATGGGACAGTGTTTGTCAGCCCAGTTCAGCCCAGTGAGGGTTTTGAGTGTGAGGTTGCGGTAGGAGTCCTGGAAGGCAGCCTGTAAGATGTCCCCCTGGGCCAGTGACTCCGAGGCCAGGTCGTTCCCATGGGAGCCCCACCTGGGGTTCTGTGGGTTCGGCTCTCCCAGCAGGAATAGCGTCTGTACCCTGAGCCCTCGAGCCTCACGCAGCCCGCCCCACGAGGCCCGAATGGCGTTTCTCTGGTTCAGGTTCCCCGGAGCCGTGCACACTAGGATGAGCAGGAAGGGAGGGGCGCCGGGACCACCGCAAGCTTCCTGGTTGGGGATCAAGAGGCGGGGCAGGGCCAGGGGAGGCCCCGGTGAGGCGGGGGCTGGGAGCAGGGAGGCTAGTGAGAGGCTCAGCAGCTCCTCCCCCAACCCCGAAGGCCCAAAGAGGGTCCAGACAATCACCAGCAGCAGAGCTGCGAGGAGCAGGCGCCGGAAGAGCTTGAGATGCATGGTGCGGCGCACTCTTAAGGGGATCCGGAAAAGCGAATGGCGGCTGTGGGGCGGAGACTAGCTCCCAGGGGCTGGGCCGCGGCCGGGGACTTAACCGACCACGCCCGGGATGCGGAGAGCGGGGCGCGCGGCCGGGACCAGCGCACCCTGGAGTACGCGGGGAGGCGGTGCAGCTGCAGACCGTGGTCGAGGTATGCTGCGGGGGTGGCTACCTTGTTGCGGCCTCGCCGCCAGCAAGCTTCGCTCCATGGCCGACCGACTGCGGCGCTCACGGCCCCTCCCCCGCCTCGCCCGGGCGGCCGGCCCGCCGCAAGCTTCCGCGCTGCGCGCATCCCCGCCGGAAGCCGCGTCGGAGTAGCGCGGCAAGACGCGGAAACCCGGGCAGGTGGAGTGGCACCGAACGGAGCGAGACCGGTCTGCCCAGCCGCTCCCCGTCCTGACCCACCCATGTACTCCACCAGGGAGCCCAGGCCTTTCATAACCAATGTCGGCGTCTTTGCCTTTGTTGTTTTAGATCAGAGCCCCAAGGACTTTATGACTAAATGACCCTTTTGGCTAGGCTCAGCTACCCATCCCACAACCGTGCTGCAACACCAACCCCAGATGATTTGTCTCTAAACTGATCTCGGTCTCCCCCACAAGGCTGGAAACTGTTTTCCCCTCACTCTTCTCTTTACAGGGAAGGACATCACTACATGTAGGGAGACTGGGGGGTCTGCAGCATCACCACTGCCAGAACCAATAGTTATTGTGTGGGTGACTGAGTCGGGACAGCTCTAACTGGAAAGGGAGAAATGCCTATAAGGACTCAGCACCTTAACATTCCCTATTAGAATGGACAGAACCACAAAGAAGGAAGCCATCGGTATATAAACTATTTATTAACAGACAAGGCCTACAGACTTATTTCTTCTTGGATACACCCACGGTGCGGCCACGGCGGCCAGTGGTCTTGGTGTGCTGGCCGCGGACACGAAGGCTGCAGGTAAAAAGAAGGGTCATAGGTCATACACAGCACAAAAAATGTTGGGCAAAAGGGAAGAGTGAGCAGGAGGAATGCTGTGAGTTGAGGCAGGCAGGAAGGGGAGACCCCCAACTCACCCCCAGAAGTGGCGAAGCCCTCTATGGGCCCGAATCTTCTTCAGTCGCTCCAGGTCTTCACGGAGCTTGTTGTCCAGACCATTGGCTAGGACCTGGATTCAGAGGGGGCAAGGGATCTTTATCGCCTGACCTCCCATGCCCAATTCTATTAGGATTCTCCACCATTCCTCTAATCCTGCCCTCATTTTGGTACACACCTGGCTATATTTTCCATCCTTTACATCCTTCTGTCTGTTTAAGAACCAGTCTGGGATCTTATATTGGCGTGGATTCTGCATAATGGTGATCACACGTTCCACCTGGCAGGCAGGACAAGGTCAGATCTAGACAGCCTCCTTTCCGAGGCAGACTCTACCCCCAACCCCCTTCCTTATCCTCACCTCATCCTCAGTGAGTTCTCCTGCCCTCTTGGTGAGGTCAATGTCTGCTTTCCTCAACACCACATGAGCGTATCTTCGGCCCACACCCTGAATGAAGTGAGAGGTTTTGGAGTTAAGGTTGAATCTGATTTATGAATACAGACTTTATAGTATAGACAATCAATCTTTGCAAGCAGGCAGTATCTTTTCTTTTCTCATTGCCCAGCATATGTAGTTGGTACTATGTGCCTTCTGATTTTTGCATTTTGGAGAACAAGGGGCCTGCCCCTCCAGGCTGATGCAGCAAACAACCAGGGTCTCATGAATTACAGGCTTTGATTAAAGTACTGGGCCGTCAGTTGCTCGGAATCTCTTAAGGGTCACAATTCAGGCAAGTCACTGTATCCCTATGAACAAAGTATCCAAAGATCACCAACTTAATTTTGTCAGTGCCCAGAACTGACTGCTCAAGTGATTAAAAAGAAACTAATGCGCCAGGCGTGGTGGTGCACGCCTGTAATCCCAGCACTTTGGGAGGCCAAGGCAGGTGGATCACCCAAGGTCAGGAGTTCGAGACTAGCCTGACCAACATGGTAAAACTGTCTGTAATAAATATAAAAACTCAGCCAGGTGTGGTGGCACTTGCCTGTAATACCAGCCAATCGGGAGGCTGAGACAGGAGAATCACTTGAACCCGGGAAGTGGAGGCTGCAGGGAGACGAGACCAAGCCATTGCACTCAAGCCTGGGCAATAAGAGCAAAACTCTCGTCTTAAAAAAAAAAAAAAAAAAAAAAAACAAAACAAAACAAAACAAACTAATGCTTACTTTGGTAGCATAATATCAACGCCAGCACTAGCACTCATGCCATCTAAACTCATGAACCAAAGTGATTTGGATAGTGAAGGATGGACTGAATAGTGAGGTCCTCCCCTCATTTATGTCCAACTAGAAACTCAGAATGTGGCCCTATTTGGATGTGAGGTCATTAGGGGAATATTTAGGTAATATGATGTTATACTTGATTAGGGTGGGCTCTAGATCCAATGACAAGTCATCTTATAAGATAAACACGAAGAGGATCACGAGATGACAGCAACAGACTGGAGTAATGCAGCTACAAACCAGGAACACTAAGAATTACTGACAACCACCGGAAGAGAGGAAGAGACAAGGCAGGATTCTTAAATGCCTTCAGCGCCAAGAATAATTTTCTTTTCTTTTTTTTTTTTTTGAGATGGAGTTTTGCTCTTGTTACCCAGGCTGGAGTGCAATGGCGCGATCTCGGCTCACCGCAACCTCCGCCTCCTGGGTTCAGGCAATTCTCCTGCCTCAGCCTCCTGAGCAGCTGGGATTACAGGCACGTGCCACCATGCCCAGCTGATTTTTTGTATTTTCAGTAGAGACGGGGTTTCACCATGTTGACCAGGATGGTCTCGATCTCTTGACCTCGTGATCCACCCGCCTCGGCCTCCCAAAGTGCTGGGATTACAGGCTTGAGCCACCGCGCCCGGCCAAGAATAATTTTCTGATTAGTTTATATGAACTTGTTATAGTAGGTCCCAGGAAATTAAAACAAATGCCATTTCCTCTCAGCAAGAAAGAAATCAAAGAGGTTGGCCTCACAGTGGCTCACGCCTTTAATTCCAGCCCTTTGGGAGGCTGAGGCTGGATGATCACTGAGCCCAGGAGTTTCAGACCAGCCTAGGCAACACAGTGAGATCCTATCTCTAAAAAACAAACAAACAAAACTGCACTCCAGCCTGGGCAAGAGTGAGACTCTGTCTTGGAAAAAAACAAAAATAAATGTGACCAAGGGTCAAATTAGCAGGCTGATTCAGAAGAGAGTAGTCTTTCAAATTTATTTATTAAATGACAGGGTTTCACCATGTTGGCCAGGCTGGTCTCGAACCCCTGACCTCAGGGGATCCACCCACCTCAGTCTCCCAAAGTGCTGGAATTACAGGGATGAGCCACTGTGCCCAGCCTCAAATTTTATTAAATGTCCTATTTCATAAGTCAACCATCAAATTTCATAAACTTACAAATGAAAAGATTTACCTCAGGCCAGGTGTGGTGGTTCAGGCCTGTAATTCCAGCACTTTGGGAGGCCAAGGCAGGTGGATCACCTGAGGTCAGGAGTTCAAGACCAGCCTGGACAACATGGTGAATGAAACCCCATCCCTACTAAAAACACCAAAATTAACTAGGTAATTTCAGGTGCCTGAAATCTCAGCTGCTCAGGAGGCTGAGGCAGAATTGCTTGAATCCGGGAGGTGGAAGTTGCAGTGATCTGAGATGGCACTACTGTACTCCAGCCTGGGCAAAAGAGCAAGACTGTCTCCCCACCAAAAATGGAAAGAATTTTCCTTTACAGTCCTCAAACCTGCCAAGAGTATCCCTACTACTATCCGTTCCCTAACATCACCTAAGTACCTACCATGCAACAGAAGCTGAGAACTGAAAGACAGGCCTAGACCTGTACCCATGAAATGGACACATACTGATAGGCTATTTCCACAACTAACTACACATTCTGATTATAAAAAAAAAAAAAAAAAGCATGTATCTAGAAAGGAGTTCCTTGTATTTGTGGAGAGAAATATACAAGTGAAGCAATGTTCTTGCATTCCCTTTTGGATTCTTACAAGCGAAAGAGATCTGTACTCCTTCCCACTTTGATAGGAAAGGAGTGTCAATTTTGGCATCTGAGTAAATGTCCTGCTCAGACTTCCTCCACCCTCCATTTACAGGTTTCTTCACACTTTATCTGTTGGCATGTCTACTCATCCCTCAAGAAGCCCAATAATCCTCCTGTTCCCAGGGCATATAAATTTCACAGGAAAGGTTGCTATTATGATGGTGGTTTGGGTAAAGAAACGAATCTAGAAGGGATCTCACAAGCTCGTGGTTCAGGGAAATCTTAGTGAATTTGGGTAGGTAACCATACCCCTCCCCACTTCCCCCAGTGAAGTGTTTTGGCTTGATCTTAAACCACTCTATTGGCATTACTTAACCTCTGTGATAAATGTGGTAAGGACTAAAGGGGTTAGTTTCTCCCTAAACCATTTTCTTTTTTTTTTTTTTTTTGAGACGGAGTTTCGCTCTTGTTACCCAGGCTGGAGTGCAATGGCGCGATCTCGGCTCACCGCAACCTCCGCCTCCTGGGTTCAGGCAATTCTCCTGCCTCAGCCTCCTGAGCAGCTGGGATTACAGGCACGTGCCACCATGCCCAGCTGATTTTTTGTATTTTCAGTAGAGACGGGGTTTCACCATGTTGACCAGGATGGTCTCGATCTCTTGACCTCGTGATCCACCCGCCTCGGCCTCCCAGAGTGCTGGGATTACAGGCTTGAGCCACCGCGCCCGGCTAACCATTTTCTCTTCTTTTGAGACGGAGTCTCGCTCTGTCGCCAAAGCTGGAGTGCAGTAGCACGAACTCGGCTCAGGGCAATCTCCGCCTCCCGGTTTCATGCGATTTTCCTGCCTCAGCCTCCCGAGCAGCTGGGACTACAGGCGCGCACCACCACGCCCAGCTAATTTTTTTTGTATTTTCAGTAGAGACAGGATTTCACCATGTTGGCTAGGATGGTCTGGATCTCTTGCCCTTATGATCCGCCCGCCTCGGCCTCCCAAAGTGCTGGGATTACAGGTGTAAGCCACCGTGCCCGGCCCACTTTCTTTTCTAAATCCAGCAGTCCAGGTGATCTGGATGAGACTCAAGTTTCCCCAACCTTGCTTTATTTTTGCTTATATCTTCACAACCCAATTCTCATTTACATTCCCTATTCCTTACCCTACTTCACTTACCTTAATGGCAGTGATGGCAAAGGCTATTTTCCGCCGCCCATCGAT